GAACCCTGGTTTTTTTTACCCGAGCGGGTCCAGCGATCAGGGCTTCTTCTCCTCTGCAACAGGCTGACATACAGGACTCAGCAGCGCCCCCTCAGGTTGCAGTAGGGAAAACAACACAGAATTTAATTTATCTTCAATTTTATTCTCAGAACCACTATTGACATTAACAGCTTCATCTAATAATCCATAATCAGAGGCTGCACTCTGCTGATTAACTTCCTGGATTAATCCAGCAACGCTTTCCTAATCCAAGGTTTTCACTTCCTGATTCAGCAGCAGAAAAAAACATCAGTTTCATTCAGATTTGAAGGAAAATCAGATTCTGTTTCAGGAAAAGCAGCAGCTGGTCCAGAATCAAAGCAGTTTGATGTGTAATTGGATCTGAACCGAGGTCAGAGGTCGAAGCTGATTTCTGCTTCCTCTTCCTCACTGACTGACGAAGACCTGAGAACTTTTCTACTTTTGTAGCAGAAAACCATTAAAGTTGAACTGGGAACACTGGTTTCAGTCTTTTGCAACCTTTACTTGACTTCTGTTCTGAACCCGGTTCTGATCCGGGTCAGGAGAAGCAGAGCTCGGAGAAGCCAGCCACAGGAAGTGGCGCGGGGCTCTTCCTGTCCAGTTTCAGCCCAGTGGGCGTAGGCGGGGCGGCGAGGCGGCCGGGCGCCAGCAGACACAGGAACAGGAAGCGCTCGCCCATGTGGGCGGGGCTCGTCAGCAGGTTGTAGCTCCAGATCAGCTGCTTCCTGCTGGACGGGTCGCTGCAGTTCCTCAGCAGAACCTGGACAGAACCAAGCAGAACCCACCTGCATGCTGAGGGTCAGAACCAGAACCCACCTGCATGCTGAGGGTCAGAACCAGAACCCACCTGCATGCGAGCGTCGCCGCCCATGTTCTTCAGGAACGCCCTCTGGCTGACGGGGCCCAGACAGGCCACGCCCCGTCCCGCCATGCGCCGCAGGAAGCTGAAGTCCACGTCGGCCGTCAGGTCGGCGCCACCGGGGTCCAAAAGGACGTCGTGCAACCGATGACCCTTGAAGCCCTGAAACAGGTCGCATGTTAGAACCGGACCCAGACCCGGACCCTGACCCGGACCCTGACCCGGCGGCCTACAGCGTACCCTGAACGTGTCGGTCTTGGTTCCGTCGTGGCCGTAGTCGCCGATCAGCGCCGCGCCTCCCTGCTGCTGGATCCGCCGGGCCAGCAGCTGGACGATGGCTCCGCCCTCTGGACACACCTCCACGTGGCTCCGCCCCTCGCCGGCCTGCGCACACAACCAGGAGCGGTAAGCCCCGCCCCCTGAGTGTCAGCTGACCCGCCGTCCGGCTCCTCACCTGGACCAGCGAGGACGAAGCGAGCGTCGGACCCGGAGACAGAACCAACCGCAGTCGGCACGGGTCGGCCGGGTCCAAATCCACCAAAACCTCCCGCCAACCTTTCTCTGTCCGCTGGGGACGGGGACAGGTGAGGACAGGTGAGGACAGGTGAGGGGTTAGAGCAGGGCAGGTGCGGCTGCAGGTCGCTCTCTCACCTGGAACTTGTGGACCGGCAGAGTGTCGAAGAACTCGTGGGCAACAAAGATACTGAAACCTGAAAGAAGAAAGAGAAATGCGTGGAGGTCAAAGGTCAGCCAGGCTAAGTGTTTGACACCAGCGCCACATCAGGGAAAAGCTGGCAGAAACCCGGTTCTGAACCGGTTCCCACCTGCAGGGACATCTTCCAGGCGGTGGTACCAGAACACCGGAACCCCGGCCGCCGTCTCCCCTCTCTGGTACGCCGGGCCGGCCGGGTCGGGCTCGCCGCTCGCCTCCTGGCCGCCGGTTCCGGTCAGCGACTCGGCTTGGACTCGACTCAGAACCGGACTCACCTCCACCAGGTGGACCGACACAGAGGCTCCGCCCACTACAGAGCGCAGCTGGCCAAACACCTGGAGAGACAACAGAACCAGCATCAACCAGCCAGGACCAACCAGAACCTCCGGAACCAGAGATTGGGTCTTACTCTGAGGACGTCTGCCATCAGGGAACCTTTCCCCGGGCCCAGTTCTACCAGCTGCAAGCGACGTGGCCGACCCGCCGCCATCCACTCACTGACCATCCACACACCCAGCAGCTGCACACCAGAACCGGGTCAGAACCAGTGCAGCTCCTCAGTGCACTCATTGTAATCATCATCGGGTTCTGAGGAGCAGTGACTGGCCGGGTTCTGATCTAAACAGACTCACCTCTCCAAACACCTGGCTGATCTCTGGAGACGTGATGAAGTCTCCCTCTGGTCCCAGCATCATCTTCCTCACGTAGTAACCCTGCAGGAAGGAGACGCGTTAAGCCCCGCCCCAAAGTGGAGACGCGTTAAGCCCCGCCCCAAAGTGGAGACGCGTTAAGCCCCGCCCCAAAGTGGAGACGCGTTAAGCCCCGCCCCAAAGTGGAGACGCGTTAAGCCCCGCCCCAAAGTGGAGACGCGTTAAGCCCCGCCCCAAAGTGGAGACGCGTTAAGCCCCGCCCCAAAGTGGAGACGCGTTAAGCCCCGCCCCAAAGTGGAGACGTGATAAGCCCCGCCCCCAGCCTGATGGGGAGACATACTGCCACTGGGTTGGTCAGAACCTCCCTCATGTACTCGGACACGGAGATGGGCCCGGTGGATCGGATCTTGGCGCTCAGGTGTTTGAGCATGGAGGGGCGGGACTTCCTGTCCTGAGCTGAGGAGCTGCACAGCGGCGCGGCCGGAGCACAGCGCCACCTTCCTGTCAAACACAGACATTCTGGAGTCAGTCTGGTCAGGAACACTGAGCAGAACCAAATAGGTTCTACTCTTATCCAGAGACAAAACCGACCGGTTCTGGTCCAAACATCTACCAAAAACTGGTGGATAGTTTAGTCCCTGAGATTTCAGAATTAAATTTCTTGTTTTATTTATGGATAAATAAACTAAATGTTTCCAGTTTGAAATGTTCGTGAGGATTGAAACGTGCTGACCTTTCAGAATGAGGTCATGATTATTATTGTAATAGCTGGTAAACAGCACTATGAATGGTATCATCATAATCTGTGACGTCATGAGCTGAATGCTGAAGAAGCCCAGGTGAGGCTTCTGGATTAAGATGAACCGGGTTCAGAACCAGGTCAGTTTGCCCAGATGTTCTGATTCTGTGCTGAACCTGCCAGGTGTTTCAGCTTCAGGTGTCCCGTGGATCTGTGAGTGTGTGAGGTTCTGGTGGGTCTACCTGTGTCAGGTGTCACTGAGCCGGTCCGAAAGGCTGCGCGGTGACTGAAGGCTCTACTGAGCAGCTGCTGACAGACCTTCATCCTCGTTTCGCCGGTGTGCGTCACTTCCTGCAGCCGCTCTGGAGCAACCCTGCTGCCATTAGCTAATCTGCATAGCGGTGGGTTAATGTCCGGGTTAAAACCAAACTAGATTCAGAGTAAAAGCTGCGGCTTTCCTATCGGCTGTTAAAGGTCAGTCATCTGCCTGGAAAGGTTACAGGTCACCAGAGAGGATCAAAAAGGCACCGAGTCCTCCTGAAGTTGGCACAGCTAAAGCTAACAGCGGCGGCTCTGCCGTTTACCGGAACTGGTTATGGTCCGACAGCGCCACTTGCTGCTGGGGAGGATAACTACATTAAACTTATTCGTACGGACAGGAAAAGGATAAAACGCTAAATCAGTAATAATAATAATCTGTATTTCATTTCTGTTTTATTTGTAACGGCTCTGAAGGATTGAGCAGACAGGAATCTCCTGTTTTTTGTGTTGAAAGGAACTTCCTGTTAAGAGAAAACTAACCTCCAGGTTTGACCTCTGTTAGTTCATGTCATGTCTCAGGAACCAGTCGCTTGAAAGCTCACAACTCTGATCAATCCAGTTAAATAGATTCTGGATTATTCAGCTGTTCGGAACAGGCTGAGGATCAATCAGATTCTCAAAATACTGCTCCATTTCCCATCGTCCTGCATCCATCTGCCTGGATGTGACCATCCATGACTGCATGGTCACTAAAGTCACTAAGCACTTTGTACTACCTTGTTGCTGAAAATGTATAAAATTACCTTCACTGTTATCGTTCAAACGGATGATTTCCTGTCTTTGCAGTCACGTGTCCAGCTGAGAGGACTGGTCGCCCTAAAGCATCTGAGATTTCCATTGAGACGTTCTGCATTGATCCCAGAGTGATCAATAAATGAGACTAAACTGCCACCAGTGCAGCTTGATGAAGAAACTTTAAAGACAGAAAAACTGAAGAAATATAAATAGAAACAAACTTTATTGATTCAGCATGTAGGAAAAATACTAAAAACAGAAAATGAAGCCAAGCAGCTGAGATGGTATAACGAGAAATTATAATCTGGATTAGAAGACAGAAGCCTGCTAATCCTGATGCTAACCTGCTAAACTTTCAGGTTAGCAGCATGACCTTCATGCTGCCACTGCCATGAAGATCAGAAAAAACCCTGGGAATGTTCCGAACCGCTGAGGCTGCAGGTTTCCTCCATTCAGACTGTGCTGGTCCAGTCAGAGCAGATCTGGTTCTGACCTGCTGCAGGTTCCTACTCCATCTGGACTCAGTTCTGATCCAGTCTGGATTCTCCTGGTCTTCACCAAACTGGACCAGAACCTCAGCGGTTCTGCATGGCGTCCGTCTGATTTGATCAGAACAGCCAGGAGTTGTGGTGATAGCTTCAGCGAAAAGGTTCTGGATCGGTCCACACATCAGTGTTCTGCTTGTCAGAACCAGTCCTGTTACCCAGAACTGTTCAGAATCGATTCAGAATTCAGACCCAGACATCAGATCTTTATTTCCAGCTTTAATAAATTTACATTTAAGTTACAGCTTCGGTTATTTCTCGCCTTTTGGCCGTTTTACAACGTTTCTGCTTCAGGTTTGAGTTTCAGTGGTTCTGGAGCCTCCTGGGCCCTCGGACCGGACCAGACCCGATTCCACCAGAGCCATGGAGCTGGTTCTGGACTGATCTGGACCAACAGAAAAGGACACGGAGTCCAAAGTGACAGAAAACAACTTTATTGAGTCCGGCGCATTACAGCTGGAATTCTGGGAATTCAAACACGACGTCTTTCCCCGTCAGCTTCTTGTAGACTCCAGAGAACGTCTCACCTGCACAGAGGTCAGAGGTCAGAGCAGAAGCTGGTCTCAAACTAAAATAATTATATGAATTGAAATATTTTTCTAGTTATATGAGCGCCCTCTGGTGGACTAACATCTTTATGATCATAATCATTTAGGAGATCAACTAAAGGTATTTTCAGGTGGAAAACACTAATTATTATTTTGTTTCTTATCCACCTGCACATTTTAACTTAATCTTAGTTTTTCAGAAACTTCTGGAAAAATGCAGTTAAATTTTATCTTTATTTCTTGTTCTCTTTAATCCTGAACTATTTTCACGGCTGAGATGAATCACAGTAATAAACCTCCACACAGAACCAGAGCGTTGTGTGTCCTGCATGGTTTGTCTCCCCAGTAACGGCCCAAAGGACTCTGGGAAGGCGTAGGAATATGCAGGACGCTCGCCGCGCCGGCGGCCGGGGGCGGAGCTTATTGTCCGACAACGTGGAACGGGATTGGACGTCACGGCTCAGAGCTGCGCTCCCATTGGCCACCAGGACAGAGCTGGAGGCCACGCCCCCAGGTGTCCATGTCGGGAACTGATGGTTGCTATAGTTACCGGCAGATTAACATGGATCCAAAGCTGCAGGGAAGTTTTCAGATAAACGCCTCGTTTTACGTTCACGGATACGAAGGTGAGTTTTACATTAGCTTTAGCTTAAGCTAGACGACATTTTTCTTGTAAATTGTGCTATTTACGTATCTAAACATACATAAACATATATGTGGCCACATGAAGACAGAATTAGAACCCAGTTTGATTCCTGAAACATTTCACAACTAGAATCAGAACCCGGCTGGCCCGGTTCTGGTGCCGTCTCAACAGAATCACTCACTTTGTGTTCCACGTTGTTCTGCTGGGCCTTGTCCAGGTGGACCTTGATGAGCCGGCTGCTGTCCAGCTTGACCCGGATCCGCTTCCCGACGATCTCACTGGGGAACACCAAGTCCTCCAAGATGGCGTCATGGACAGAGGTCAAAGTTCGACTGGATGGACAAAGGGGAAGTTTATTATTTTTTAATCATGTTCATTCTTTAAGAAATGTCACAAATTCAGACTAAATACCTAGCTTAATTAGCTTGAAGCTAATTAGCTTGCTTGCTAAGTATTTAAGCTTGACAGTTAGCTTGCCAACAGCATATTCAATAATTATTGACACAATACAAAATGATGACATCATTCTGACATCACAAATAACTTCTGTGTCCTGCATGGTTTGTCTCCCCAGTAACGGCCCAAAGGACTCTGGGAAGGCGTAGGAATATGCAGGACGCTCGCCGCGCCGGCAGCCGGGGGCGGAGCTTACTGTCTGACAACGTGGAACGGGATTGGACGTCACGGCTCAGAGCTGCGCTCCCATTGGCCACCAGGACAGAGCTGGAGGCCACGCCCCCAGGTGTCCATGTCGGGAAACAGATCTTTAAATGTGAGAAAATGTTCCTGAACATTTAAATCCACCGGGCCAGGGTTCTGACCAATCACACGGCTTCCTGCTGATGACATCATCATTACCCTCTCCGGTTCCTTCCTGACAGCAGAATCAATTGGGTCGAGCCACTGAACTGTGAAGGTCCAAACCCTGACCTTTGACCCTTCCATGTTCGGCTCCTCAGGAGTTCTGTAGAACCACTACAGAACCTCTGATCTAAACAGAACTGGTTCCGGTTCTACTGATTCTCCAGTAGCTCCAGACCTGCGAATCAGAACCGGTTCTGGTCCACTCACCTCCTGGGACGCTTCTGCTTATTCTTGGTGCGACTTTTCCTGGTGGGTTTGGGAAGAATCCTCCTCTGGAAACAAACAGCAGTAATCAATACCTGATCAGAGCAGCAGAACCTGGACCGGATCCACACAGAACCAGAGCGTTGTGTGTCCTGCATGGTTTGTCTCCCCAGTAACGGCCCAAAGGACTCTGGGAAGGCGTAGGAATATGCAGGACGCTCGCCGCGCCGGCCGACCCGCAGCCGGGGGCGGAGCTTACTGTCCGACAACGTGGAATGGGATTGGACGTCACGGCTCAGAGCTGCGCTCCCATTGGCCACCAGGACAGAGCTGGAGGCCACGCCCCCAGGTGTCCATGTCGGATCACTGGACCTGCACCAGTTCATACTGGGAATATTGACACATAAACAGGAAATGTGAAACGTCCAGATCAGAAACTGGGAGCCTCTGGTACAGAGGAACAGGAAGAACCACGACGTGACGCAGACATCAACCTTTGTGACAACAACCACGTTTAGATTCAATTATGATAAATAATGAAGACGTGATCCATAGGAGGTTCCCAGGTTCACGCAGCAAACCACACAAAAACGCTCAAGAACCAGCGACCTGGCAGAACCAGCAACCTGGCAGAACCGGTTGACCCGCACACGGTAGAGCTCAGACGGGATCCAAACAGTCGCTCTTAGATCTACAGGAGGATCAAACTCCCTCACTCGCCTTCAGCTGGCAGGAAAACTAAGCAAACTGACCAATGAGATCCAGGTTTTCCATCCCACAGACTCACTTCCTGTTGTTAGATCATAAACTATCCAAAAGCTATTTTCTTCTTTTACTTACAGGAAAAGAATCAGATTCGGGCGCATAATTCTGCTGCACAGGAAACTAGAACAGACTTTAGGTATTTATTCAAATTTGTCTGTTATTAAATTCACCTGATCTATGTTGAATTTATTGCCAGATAATTTTTCACTTTAAGGCATAAATGTTAAGAGCCAATCCAGGTGATCGGTATCGGCAGCAAAGAACCTGATTGGAGCATCGCTGGTATTGATGATCAGCAGATTTACGGCTGCTATTGACTTTTAGATAAGAAAATATTTTATCTAATGAACTATTTAAAATGTTTATTTGTAGTTTTATGAATTTCAAATGCATAAAAAATCTGAATTAGTTAAATGAAAATATTTTTCATTCTGTCAGAATAAATCGATCAGTTCATGTTAGTTACAGAACCGGGTCTGGAACTCAACCTGACAGGTTCCCAACCTCTGACCTCTCACCTGTGCAATGAAGACGACATGCTTCCCGCTGAACTTCTTCTCCAGCTCCCGGACCAGGCGGACCTGGATCTTCTGGAAGGACTTGAGCTGAGGAACCGGGACGAAGATGATGATGGCTTTGCGGCTGCCGCCCACCTCGATCTCCTGCAACACAGAGGAACGCGCCATCAGCGCCGCGTCCACAACACGGAGCGGATCCAGATCCACACAGAACCAGAGCGTTGTGTGTCCTGCATGGTTTGTCTCCCCAGTAACGGCCCAAAGGACTCTGGGAAGGCGTAGGAATATGCAGGACGCTCGCCGCGCCGGCCGACCCGCAGCCGGGGGCGGAGCTTACTGTCCGACAACGTGGAACGGGATTGGACGTCACGGCTCAGAGCTGCGCTCCCATTGGCCACCAGGACAGAGCTGGAGGCCACGCCCCCAGGTGTCCATGTCGGGAAAACGTTCAGCAGAATCCCACCTTAGCTGCAGTGATGTGCAGTTCCCTCAGCTGGGCCTTCAGGTCAGAGTTCATCTCCAGCTCCAGCAGAGCCTAGATGAGAACGAGCCGGGTCAGCAGGCGAACAGAACCGGCACCAAGATGACCGACTGATGGCTCTTACCTGGGAGATTCCAGACTCAAACTCATCAGGCTTCTCGCCGTTCGGCTTCACTATCTTAGCGCTGGTACTGAACATGGCCTTAGTCTCTGCACAGACAGAGGTTAGAGGTCATTTCATCACATATGTAAAGAGGAACAGCAAAAGATGTGTTGCTAGGGGATTTCAAGCTGTTAGCATTTGACTTATCACACAGAACTCAGTCAGACCCTCTTATGATTCGCTGTAACACTGACTGCTACCAGAAACCCTTCTTGCTCACAGCATCAACATTCACAATTCTCTAAAGAAACTTGGATGATTTAAGTTTCATTAAATAAGTCTTTTTTTAATAAAATCTGACTCAGGAACGTCTAAACTGGTTCCAGATTAACCGGTGAACTGGTCCCAGTTACTGAACTCCAAGTAAACTGGTTTGAAATGGTTCCAGTTCTCCTACTGCTGCGACCTAACCGCTCAACTGGTCCCAGCTCGGAGGTTCTACAATTTACTAGTTAATTCCCAGTTTATTTCCAGCAGTAGCTGACTGAACACACGCTCGGCCTAGCTTCTCCCGCTAACAGTCCCTCCGCTACTACGCTGTAAATACTCCTCTAACGAAACCATCCACTGCTGCAAACATCTCAATCTGAGGTATCAGACTCCATATGGGAGGTTCCTGTTGTTGAAGCGCCAACAAAACAGCTTTAAAGAACATTTAAGATCAGAAAACTGATGTGCTGTGAATAACACGACTAACCTGTGTCAGCGACGGCCAAGGAAGAGACCGGAACATCGCGAGACTTGAATTAATCCAATCGCGTTGCTGATCATTAACATCGCGAGAATCAGATATGCACGCCGTTGTTAAGTTAAGATATCGCGAGAGTAGAATTTGTGGCGTTGTTGCTGTTAATTGTCGGGTTTACAGTCAACTTCACCACGTTTAGGCCCCAAAATGATTCTCTGCTGGTTCCGCTGATGTTCCGGCTTTGGACTCCGGTCCGGACAGTTCTCAAGAGGTTCTGCAGCGCTTCAGACATGCCGAACCCGAGAGGAAAGTTCTTCTACGCTGTCAGGAAGGGAGTGAAACCCGGAGTGTACGGGTCATGGTGAGGTTCATCCGGTGTCCTGACTATCAGCTACCTCGTCAGGTTTTCTTACCGTAGGATGAAACTTTTAACTAATTATGGATAGGAGCAAGGTTTATTCTGACGTCATAATAATCCAGAACCAGGTGGTTCTGGGTATTTTCTCAGGCTCTTGCTTTCGGAACCCCTGGTTAGTATTAACGCCTCAGCAGCCGCGTTTCATTATTCTGTCAGTTAAAATTAATTTATTTAAAATATTTAGATCAAAAGTGAAGCTTACATTGTTTGCGTTTATTTCTTGCAGACGGATATATTTAAATTAGTTGATTCTCTTACAGTAAACGGAAACGCAGCATTTAGTTAAAATAGTCAGACAAAGAAAAACTAATGTTATGCAGAAATATTGTTTTATGGTCAAAACAGTCGTGGAGGAACTGAGCATAGCAGGAAATAGTCAATATTGTTCACGGAGTAGTATATGAGTAGAAGTTTAGTAGAAGGAAAAACTAGCAGTGAGTGGGCTTTGATTGGACAGAACACAGGAAATCCTCCAACAGTGGAAGAAGACAGACAGAAAATGTTAAATCCAAAAGGTTCTGAAGATTTCACCGGTTTAGAACAAGAACATTCTAGAAAGAGTTCTGAAGAAATGTTGTGCTTAAATCCTGATGACTTTCCTGGTTCTGGTCGTTCTTCCAGGGAAGAGTGTAAGATCCAGGTGGACAAGTTTCCAGCTGCGTTGTTTAAGAAGTTTGGATCAGAACGAGATGCCTGGGCGTTCTTCAGAGGAGAAGACCCGTCTGCAGTTCCGGGCCACAGCACAGGTGAGCCGGTCCAGACAGGCGAGGAACTAAAGGTTCTGCCTCTAGGACCTCTAGGAAACAGCAGGTTTGTTCTGAATAATTCTGGTAGGAACATCTGGGCCAATCAGACGGATATCGGACCTGCAATGAAAGAAACACAATCCCTGTGTTTTCATCAGAACCTCTGCTGCAGCGTTTTGGATAAGCCCAAACCTTTTAGCAGAACTGGACCTGATTCCTGTGGAACGGTTCTGTTCCTGATTGCAGTTCTGTCTCCCATCAGGGACCCGGCCTGGAGAGACAGACGTCTCTCTGCTGCCCAGACGGGGCCCAGAGCCGGTGGAATGCATCCCGCTAGGAAAGAAGAGGCCCCGCCCAGAGGAGGGGGCGGAGCTTCAGCCTAAACGAGCCAAGCCTAAACGAGCCAAGCCATCAGAGAGCCTGTTAGCAGGAAGCAGTGATGGATTCACCTACATGGGTATGATGACGACGATAGAGCTTCATCCTGAGTGGTGGCCTCCAGTCCTGAAGCACTAATCATTAATTTGATGGAGCTAATGCTAATGCGCTATACTAACATGGTGTAAAGTGGAAGCTATAGATGAAGCGCCATGTCAACGTTTTATTTAGTGGAAGATGGAGCTAAAATGCTAACTTCAGCCATATTGACACCCAGCAGGTGTGCTGCAGGACCATGCTACCCTGGACAGAATCAAATTATTCACAGTTCAAAACCAAAACTTCAACATGGAACTTTTGAACTTTTTTCAACTGGAAGTGATAAAAATATGCAAACTAAATTATTACTATGGAGTTCATCAGAAACAAAAATATAGGGGAAACTAAGTACACTAAAATTTTCGAAGTTAGCAAAAGCGCTAAATGCTAAAAATAAGCTCTGCTATAAGTAGAACGGTGGCCACTCCCAAACTGACCTCTGACCTGCTGCTGACCCTCCAGGTGATGCGGTGGTGGTGTACACCGACGGCTGCTGCTCAGCCAACGGGCGGGACCGGGCCCGGGCTGGGATCGGGGTGTACTGGGGCCGGAACCACCCATTGTGAGTCCACACACACCAACACACCCTCAACTAGCTGCTGCTGGCACTGACGCTGTGAGGAAGTAACCAGCTGCTGCCTCTTGGCCAGAAATGTTGCAGAGCGGCTGCAGGGGCGGCAGACCAATCAGAGAGCAGAGATTCAGGTGAGACCCGCCCATCACATCCCACCTCAGAATCACTGTCCAATCAACGCGAGACCAGTACTACTTTATAAACGGTTGGAACCCAATTAGTCAGAATGAACTGGTTCTGATCCAGTGCCCTCTAGTGGCTCAACTGCTGTAGTGCAGCCAAATCCTTTTATTTCTTCTTGTTTCATTTATTTCATCAAAAATAATTAATACAATTCTAACACAAACTTAAATGCTAAACAAAATGAAAATTTGAAAAAAAACCAACTGTATGAAATTACTCTGCGCGTTCACCAGTACTGTCAGTTGACTTGTTTAATGACTCGTTAGTGACTCGTTAGTGATTGGTAGCTGTTTAATGACTCGTTAGTGACTCGTTAGTGATTGGTAGCTGTTTAATGACTCGTTAGTGACTCGTTAGTGACTGGTAGCTGTTTAATGACTCGTTAGTGACTCGTTAGTGACTGGTAGCTGTTTAATGACTCGTTAGTGACTCGTTAGTGATTGGTAGCTGTTTAATGACTTGTTAGTGACTCGTTAGTGATTGGTAGCTGTTTAATGACTCGTTAGTGACTGGTAGCTGTTTAATGACTCGTTAGTGACTCGTTAGTGATTGGTAGCTGTTTAATGACTTGTTAGTGACTCGTTAGTGATTGGTAGCTGTTTAATGACTCGTTAGTGACTCGTTAGTGACTGGTAGCTGTTTAATGACTCGTTAGTGACTCGTTAGTGACTGGTAGCTGTTTAATGACTCGTTAGTGACTGGTTAGTGTTTAATGACTCGTTAGTGATTGGTAGCTGTTTAATGACTTGTTAGTGACTCGTTAGTGATTGGTAGCTGTTTAATGACTCGTTAGTGACTCGTTAGTGACTGGTAGCTGTTTAATGACTCGTTAGTGACTCGTTAGTGATTGGTAGCTGTTTAATGACTCGTTAGTGACTGGTAGCTGTTTAATGACTCGTTAGTAACTCGTTAGTGATTGGTAGCTGTTTAATGACTCGTTAGTGACTGGTAGCTGTTTAATGACTCGTTAGTGACTCGTTAGTGATTGGTAGCTGTTTAATGACTCGTTAGTGACTGGTAGCTGTTTAATGACTCGTTAGTGACTCGTTAGTGACTGGTTGTTTAATGACTCGTTAGTGACTCGTTAGTGACTGGTAGCTGTTTAATGACTCGTTAGTGACTCGTTAGTGACTGGTAGCTGTCTAATGACTCGTTAGTGACTCGTTAGTGACTGGTAGCTGTTTAATGGCTTGTTAGTGACTCGTTAGTGACTGGTAGCTGTTTAATGACTCGTTAGTGACTCGTTAGTGACTGGTAGCTGTTTAATGACTCGTTAGTGACTCGTTAGTGACTGGTAGCTGTTTAATGACTCGTTAGTGACTCGTTAGTGACTGGTAGCTGTTTAATGGCTTGTTAGTGACTCGTTAGTGACTGGTAGCTGTTTAATGGCTTGTTAGTGACTCGTTAGTGACTGGTAGCTGTTTAATGACTCGTTAGTGACTCGTTAGTGACTGGTAGCTGTTTAATGACTCGTTAGTGACTCGTTAGTGACTGGTAGCTGTTTAATGACTCGTTAGTGACTCGTTAGTGACTGGTAGCTGTTTAATGACTCGTTAGTGACTCGTTAGTGACTGGTAGCTGTTTAATGACTCGTTAGTGACTGGTTAGTGTTTAATGACTCGTTAGTGATTGGTAGCTGTTTAATGACTCGTTAGTGACTGGTAGCTGTTTAATGACTCGTTAGTGATTGGTAGCTGTTTAATGACTCGTTAGTGACTGGTAGCTGTTTAATGACACGTTAGTGACTCGTTAGTGATTGGTAGCTGTTTAATGACTCGTTAGTGACTGGTAGCTGTTTAATGACTCTTTAGTGACTCGTTAGTGACTGGTAGCGACTGGTAGCTGTTTAATGACTTGTTAGTGACTCGTTAGTTGTTTAGTGACTCGTTAGTGACTGGTAGCTGTTTAATGACTCTTTAGTGACTCGTTAGTGATTGGTAGCTGTTTAATGACTCGTTAGTGACTGGTTAGTGTTTAATGACTCGTTAGTGATTGGTAGATGTTTAATGACTCGTTAGTGACTCGTTGGTGACTGGTAGCTGTTTAATGACTCGTTAGTGACTCGTTAGTGATTGGTAGCTGTTTAATGACTCGTTAGTGACTGGTAGCTGTTTAATGACTCGTTAGTGACTCGTTAGTGATTGGTAGCTGTTTAATGACTCGTTAGTGACTGGTAGCTGTTTAATGACTCGTTAGTGACTTGTTAGTGACTGGTAGCTGTTTAATGACTCGTTAGTGACTCGTTAGTGACTGGTAGCTGTTTAATGACTCGTTAGTGACTCGTTAGTGACTGGTAGCTGTTTAATGACTCGTTAGTGACTGGTAGCTGTTTAATGGCTTGTTAGTGACTCGTTAGTGACTGGTAGCTGTTTAATGACTCGTTAGTGACTCGTTAGTGACTGGTAGCTGTTTAATGACTCGTTAGTGACTCGTTAGTGACTGGTAGCTGTTTAATGACTCGTTAGTGACTCGTTAGTGACTGGTAGCTGTTTAATGGCTTGTTAGTGACTCGTTAGTGACTGGTAGCTGTTTAATGGCTTGTTAGTGACTCGTTAGTGACTGGTAGCTGTTTAATGACTCGTTAGTGACTCGTTAGTGACTGGTAGCTGTTTAATGACTCGTTAGTGACTCGTTAGTGACTGGTAGCTGTTTAATGACTCGTTAGTGACTCGTTAGTGACTGGTAGCTGTTTAATGACTCGTTAGTGACTCGTTAGTGACTGGTAGCTGTTTAATGACTCGTTAGTGACTCGTTAGTGACTGGTAGCTGTTTAATGACTCGTTAGTGACTGGTAGCTGTTAATGACTCGTTAGTGATTGGTAGCTGTTTAATGACTCGTTAGTGACTGGTAGCTGTTTAATGACACGTTAGTGACTCGTTAGTGATTGGTAGCTGTTTAATGACTCGTTAGTGACTGGTAGCTGTTTAATGACTCGTTAGTGACTGGTAGCTGTTTAATGACTTGTTAGTGACTCGTTAGTTGTTTAGTGACTCGTTAGTGACTGGTAGCTGTTTAATGACTCGTTAGTGACTCGTTAGTGACTTGTTAGTGACTGGTAGCTGTTTAATGACTCGTTAGTGACTGGTAGCTGTTTAATGACTCGTTAGTGACTGGTAGCTGTTTAATGACTTGTTAGTGACTCGTTAGTTGTTTAGTGACTCGTTAGTGATTGGTAGCTGTTTAATGACTCGTTAGTGACTGGTAGCTGTTTAATGACTCGTTAGTGACTCGTTAGTGACTGGTAGCTGTTTAATGACTCGTTAGTGACTGGTAGCTGTTTAATGACTCGTTAGTGATTGGTAGCTGTTTAATGACTCGTTAGTGACTGGTAGCTGTTTAATGACACGTTAGTGACTCGTTAGTGATTGGTAGCTGTTTAATGACTCGTTAGTGACTGGTAGCTTTAATGACTCTTTAGTGACTCAATAGTGACTGGTAGCGACTGGTAGCTGTTTAATGACTTGTTAGTGACTCGTTAGTTGTTTAGTGACTCGTTAGTGACTGGTAGCTGTTTAATGACTCCTTAGTGACTTGTTAGTGATGGGTAGCTGTTTAATGACTCGTTAGTGACTGGTAGCTGTTTAATGACTCGTTAGTGACTTGTAGCTGTTCAATGACTCGTTAGTGACTCGTTAGTGATTGGTAGCTGTTTAATGACTCTTTAGTGACTCGTTAGTGATTGGTAGCTGTTTAATGACTCGTTAGTGACTGGTAGCTGTTTAATGACTCGTTAGTGACTGGTAGCTGTTTAATGACTCGTTAGTGACTCGTTAGTTGTTTAGTGACTCGTTAGTGACTGGTAGCTGTTTAATGACTCTTTAGTGACTCGTTAGTGACTGGTAGCGACTGGTAGCTGTTTAATGACTTGTTAGTGACTCGTTAGTTGTTTAGTGACTCGTTAGTGACTGGTAGCTGTTTAATGACTCCTTAGTGACTCGTTAGTGATTGGTAGCTGTTTAATGACTCGTTAGTGACTTGTTAGTGACTGGTAGCTGTTTAATGACTCGTTAGTGACTTGTAGCTGTTCAATGACTCGTTAGTGACTCGTTAGTGATTGGTAGCTGTTTAATGACTCGTTAGTGACTCGTTAGTGATTGGTAGCTGTTTAATGACTCGTTAGTGACTCGTTAGTGACTGGTAGCTGTTTAATGACTCTTTAGTGACTCGTTAGTGACTGGTAGCGACTGGTAGCTGTTTAATGACTTGTTAGTGACTCGTTAGTTGTTTAGTGACTCGTTAGTGACTGGTAGCTGTTTAATGACTCCTTAGTGACTCGTTAGTGATTGGTAGCTATTTAATGACTCGAACGTGACTTGTTAGTGACTGGTAGCTGTTTAATGACTCGTTAGTGACTTGTAGCTGTTCAATGACTCGTTAGTGACTCGTTAGTGATTGGTAGCTGTTTAATGACTCGTTAGTGACTCGTTAGTGACTGGTAGCTGTTTAATGACTCTTTAGTGACTCGTTAGTGACTGGTAGCGACTGGTAGCTGTTTAATGACTTGTTAGTGACTCGTTAGTTGTTTAGTGACTCGTTAGTGACTGGTAGCTGTTTAATGACTCCTTAGTGACTTGTTAGTGATGGGTAGCTGTTTAATGACTCGTTAGTGACTCGTTAGTGACTGGTAGCTGTTTAATGACTCCTTAGTGACTTGTTAGTGATGGGTAGCTGTTTAATGACTCGTTAGTGACTGGTAGCTGTTTAATGACTCTTTAGTGACTCGTTAGTGACTGGTAGCTGTTTAATGACTTGTTAGTGACTCGTTAGTTGTTTAGTGACTCGTTAGTGACTGGTAGCTGTTTAATGACTCCTTAGTGACTTGTTAGTGATGGGTAGCTGTTTAATGACTCGTTAGTGACTCGTTAGTGATTGGTAGCTGTTTAATGACTCGTTAGTGACTCGTTAGTGATTGGTAGCTGTTTAATGACTCGTTAGTGACTGGTAGCTGTTTAATGACTCTTTAGTGACTCGTTAGTGACTGGTAGCGACTGGTAGCTGTTTAATGACTTGTTAGTGACTTGTAGCTGTTCAATGACTCGTTAGGACTCGTTAGTGATTGGTAGCTGTTTAATGACTCGTTAGTGACTCATTAGTGATTGGTAGCTGTTTAATGACTCGTTAGTGACTGGTAGCTGTTTAATGACTCTTTAGTGACTCGTTAGTGACTGGTAGCGACTGGTAGCTGTTTAATGACTTGTTAGTGACTCGTTAGTGACTGGTAGCTGTTTAATGACTCCTTAGTGACTCGTTAGTGATTGGTAGCTGTTTAATGACTCGTTAGTGACTCGTTAGTGATTGGTAGCTGTTTAATGACACGTTAGTGACTGGTAGCTGTTTAATGACTCATTAGTGACTCGTTAGTGACTGGTAGCTGTTTAATGACTCGTTAGTGACTCGTTAGTGACTGGTAGCTGTTTAATGGCTTGTTAGTGACTCGTTAGTGACTGGTAGCTGTTTAATGACTCATTAGTGACTCGTTAGTGACTGGTAGCTGTTTAATGACTCCTTAGTGACTCGTTAGTGACTGGTAGCTGTTTAATGACTCCTTAGTGACTCGTTAGTGACTGGTAGCTGTTTAATGACTCGTTAGTGACTGGTAGCTGTTTAATGACTTGTTAGTGACTCGTTAATGACTGGTAGCTGTTTAATGACTCGTTAGTGACTGGTAGCTGTTTAATGACTCGTTAGTGACTCGTTATTGACTGGTAGCTGTTTAATGACTCGTTAGTGACTGGTAGCTGTTTAATGACTCGTTAGTGACTCGTTAGTGACTGGTAGCTGTTTAATGACTCGTTAGTGACTCGTTAGTGACTGGTAGCTGTTTAATGACTCGTTAGTGACTCGTTAGTGACTGGTAGCTGTTTAATGACTCGTTAGTGACTGGTAGCTGTTTAATGACTCGTTAGTGACTCGTTAGTGACTGGTAGCTGTTTAATGACTCGTTAGTGACTGGTAGCTGTTTAATGACTCGTTAGTGACTCGTTAGTGACTGGTAGCTGTTTAATGACTCGTTAGTGACTGGTAGCTGTTTAATGACTCGTTAGTGACTCGTTAGTGATTGGTAGCTGTTTAATGACTCGTTAGTGATTGGTAGCTGTTTAATGACTCGTTAGTGACTCGTTAGTGACTGGTAGCTGTTTAATGACTCGTTAGTGACTTGTAGCTGTTCAATGACTCGTTAGTGACTCGTTAGTGACTGGTAGCTGTTTAATGACTCGTTAGTGACTCGTTAGTGATTGGTAGCTGTTTAATGACTCGTTAGTGACTCGTTAGTGATTGGTAGCTGTTTAATGACTCGTTAGTGACTGGTAGCTGTTCAATGACTCGTTAGTGACTCGTTAGTGACTGGTAGCTGTTTAATGACTTGTTAGTGACTGGTAGCTGTTTAATGACTCGTTAGTGACTGGTAGCTGTTTAATGACTCGTTAGTGACTCGTTAGTGACTGGTAGCTGTTTAATGACTCGTTAGTGACTCGTTAGTGACTGGTAGCTGTTTAATAACTCGTTAGTGACTCGTTAGTGATTGGTAGCTGTTTAATGACTCGTTAGTGACTGGTAGGTGTTTAATGACTCGTTAGTGACTCGTTAGTGACTGGTAGCTGTTTAATAACTCGTTAGTGACTCGTTAGTGACTGGTAGCTGTTTAATGACTCGTTAGTGACTCGTTAGTGACTGGTAGGTGTTTAATGACTCGTTAGTGACTCGTTAGTGATTGGTAGCTGTTTAATGACTGGTTAGTGACTCGTTAGTGACTGGTAGCTGTTTAATGACTTGTTAGTGACTGGTAGCTGTTTAATGACTTGTTAGTGACTGGTAGCTGTTTAATGACTCGTTAGTGACTGGTAGGTGTTTAATGACTCGTTAGTGACTCGTTAGTGATTGGTAGCTGTTTAATGACTCGTTAGTGACTCGTTAGTGATTGGTAGCTGTTTAATGACTCGTTAGTGACTGGTAGCTGTTCAATGACTAGTTAGTGACTCGTTAGTGATTGGTAGCTGTTTAATGACTCGTTAGTGACTGGTAGCTGTTTAATGACTCGTTAGTGACTGGTAGCTGTTCAATGACTAGTTAGTGACTCGTTAGTGATTGGTAGCTGTTTAATGACTCGTTAGTGACTGGTAGCTGTTTAATGACTCGTTAGTGACTCGTTAGTGACTGGTAGCTGTTTAATGACTCGTTAGTGACTGGTAGCTGTTTAATGACTTGTTATTGACTCGTTAGTGACTTGTAGCTGTTTAATGACTCGTTAGTGACTCGTTAGTGACTGGTAGCTGTTTAATGACTCGTTAGTGACTCGTTAGTGACTGGTAGCTGTTTAATGACTTGTTAGTGACTGGTTAGTTGTTTAATGACTCGTTAGTGACTGGTAGCTGTTTAATGACTTGTTAGTGACTCGTTAGTTGTTTAATGACTCGTTAGTGACTTGTAGCTGTTTAATTACTCGTTAGTGACTCGTTAGTGACTGGTAGCTGTTTAATAACTCGTTAGTAACTCGTTAGTGATTGGTAGCTGTTTAATGACTTGTTAGTGACTCGTTAGTTGTTTAATGACTCGTTAGTGACTGGTAGCTGTTTAATGACTTGTTAGTGACTCGTTAGTTGTTTAATGACTCGTTAGTGACTCGTTAGTGACTGGTAGCTGTTTAATGACTCGTTAGTGACTCGTTAGTGACTGGTAGCTGTTTAATGACTTGTTAGTGACTCGTTAGTTGTTTAATGACTCGTTAGTGACTGGTAGCTGTTTAATGACTCGTTAGTGACTCGTTAGTGACTGGTAGCTGTTTAATGACTCGTTAGTGACTCGTTAGTGACTGGTAGCTGTTTAATGACTTGTTAGTGACTCGTTAGTTGTTTAATGACTCGTTAGTGACTTGTAGCTGTTCAATGACTCGTTAGTGACTCGTTAGTGACTGTGTAGTGTCTCCGCCCACAGGCGGCTTGCAGGGCCCTGGAACTGGCCCGGCAGAACCACATCCAGAAGCTGGTTCTCTATACTGACAGCAAGTTCACCATCAACGGTGAGTCATTGTTGTGGACCTTGGGGGGGGCCAGGGCCAGGTGACCTCTGACCTCTGACTTCCTGCAGGTGTGACCAGCTGGGTGAAGACCTGGAAACTGAACGGATGGAGGCTGAAGTCTGGCGGTCCGATCACCAACAAAGAAGAGTTTATGAAGCTGGATCAGCTGAACTCAGAGCTGGACGTTGTCTGGGTAAATAACCGGGCCGAACCGGATCGGTCCGCTGGTAAAGAAGGCTCGGTGCTCCTAACTGTTCCTCTCCCTGCAGATGCATGTCCCGGGCCACGCCGGATTCACCGGGAATGAGATGGCGGACCGGCTATCCCGGGAGGGAGCAGCCAAGGACCTGCTGTGAAAAGTTTAAGATATTTTCTGATTTTCTTTCTGCTCAGGGTGAATAAAGTTTAGTTTTCTTCCGACCATGAATCCGACGGCACTTCCTTTTCTGATTGTGAAGAACAGCAGCAGAGATCAGCTGACAGGTTCTCATCATTATCCAGCAGAGGGCAGTGCTGCATTCTGAACCTGTCATCACGTTAAACTGGGAGTTTACTGGTACCAGTTTGGATAATTATTGTTTTCCCGGTTTAGCGATGAAACTGAAGTAAAACACATTTACTATATAAACAAGTCCAACTGAAGTCTTTCAGTCGGATCTATGGGAATAATTAACCCACCAATCAGAGTCAGGAGGATTATTTATTCTGTTGTCAGTTTCTCTGACCGTTTATTAATATGGTTTAAAAGGCTAAACTCTGAAGTCTCTCTATTCCCTGAAGGTTTAGCTCAGTGGTGCCCAAAGTCGTCCTGCAGGGTCGGGATCTTTTACTCTCTCCCTGGTTTAACGCACCTGGATCAAATGACGGCTCATTAGAACATTGACCTGCTGACGAGCTTGTTACACCATCAGGGAGAGAACTGAAACTAACAGGATGCCGGCCCTCCATGGGACCCACTTTGGGCACCCCTGGATTAGATGTCAATTAAATATAATCCCTGGTTCTGATTGGCTGATGACGCCCTCACGATGGTTCCTCCCCCGGAGCCGCTCTGCTGCTGTTTCCTGCTTTAATCTGTTAAATTATTCCATCTTTAATATTTGACCTGGTTCTGACCTGCAGGTGTTCAAATGGACCAGCAGAGGGCAGCGCAGCTTCTTCCTCACTGTTGATTTCTTTCATTAAACTCTGGACAGATATGCAGATTTTTAACTTTTATTTCAATTTTTTATGATTAATACTGAAGTCTAATCCTAAATCACACTGAAAACCATTTCCTGTGGGTTTTTATTTTATTCTTAATTCCAGAAATTACTTTTAATTGTTGCTGAATAAATTTTAATCTTAGATATGAAAAGAAATTCTTTGGCAAATTTAAATTTGAATTAAAGTTTAAATCTTTCATGAATTAAAAGATTTGTTTATTTTCTAGTTTAGTGAGCAGCTAGGATCATAAGTATTCATACTGCTGGCAGATTCAGCTTGGAGTGATGATGACTGGACAAAGAAGTTTGTTTCTGTCAGTTTGTTTAGAAATAACTTTTATATTTCATAAATCTGTTTGTGTCTGAACTCTGACCTCGCTCAGTTCAGCTCGGAAAACTCTCTGGCAGCAGCAGGCTGAGGCAGAGCCTCCCCTGACCTCTGACCTCTGCCCTCTGCCTGCTGGCCAGTGCGGGTAGCCACAATCCCGCCAGCAGCGGCACACGCTGCGGGGTCAAAGGTCAACACTTCAGCGGCTCATTAGCTCTGCAGCTGGAGGGAACCAAGGCGGTAGAATCAGAACTCTGCTCCAGAACATTCGGAGAAAAAAAACTTTGCACATTGGGTCAGACTGGGCCGGAGGAACCGGACCGGAGTTCTGTAGAACTTCCCACCTCATCTGCAGAGCCAGGAGAGATGGAGGCCTGCTCCGCAGTTCTAAGCATCTCCGTTTGGACACGACTGCCTCAGCAGGTCCAGAACCTTCTGACATGAGCATGATGTCACAGACGGCTGTTTCCATGACAACAGGGACCAAGCCGGCGCTGGGAAGGAAAAGATCTTTATCTGACGCTGACAGGATCCAGCAGGTCAGTGAATGCACCATGGCCGATTCTCCCAGTTGGAGGCTGGTTTTGGCCCAGATCAGACCAGTCCTCCCAGCAGCAGCCTCAGTGGGAGGAACAGCAGCATGTTGGGATGCAGCGCGGCTCTCTGGGCGTCAGCCTGCTGCAGTCCTGAGCTGCAGTCCTGAGCTGCATACTAACAGGCAGCTGCTCTGCTCCAAACACTGAGTGTTATTATTAAAATATTTCTCATTATGTTTTAATATTGGAATCACTAATTATTATTATTATTAAAATGTTCCACTTCTATCGTGTTTTATTTGACATATTTAGATTTTATTCTTTATTAATATCAAAATAAAAACCAGATCCGGTTTCTTTCCAGAACCGGAAGGAGAAAATTGGCTCATGAATTATTGCTGCTGTTTTGCCCCCCTGGTGGCCGGCAGCGGTACTGCAGCGTGTTCTGTTGACCTGGAACCTTCAGTGGTCTTTACCTGAGGAACAGGTGATGAGGAAAGGGGGCGGAGCCAGCAAAGAGCTTCATCATAAGCTCCTCTTCCTCGCCTCTGATTTGTCATTCATCACTTCTGTGATTGGTAGTAAATAAATAAATACAAATATATAAATGAATCCATGATTAAATAACTATTGTACAGGTTAACTTGGTCATAGTCAGAGTTTACCAACATGATGGTTGAAGGAATAAATTGGAAAACAAATCTGTTTTACTATTGACTGTAGAAATAAATATCAAATCCTCTTCTGATTGGTCGATCACCTGCCATGACGGCTCCTGTATCAGAAGCTGCAGGAACATGAGAGGAAAGCCTGGACTGAAGCACAGCACTGAGCCAAAACTCAACAATATCCTACAAATGTCCTGAAATGGCCTAGTTAAAGGCCAGAAACTCCTCACTTCACTGAAATGAGTCAAACAACCAGAGGAGCAAATAACTGGGCACCAGTCAAAACTACAAAAACTCCCAAAACGTTACTGAGGGAAACAGAGTAACTGGTTCCACTAGCAGAGGGCTGATAACTTTTGTCTGGAAAGTTCTTTAGTTTCCCAGACGAATAAATCAGATCGGAAACTTTAGAGAAACTCTGAATCAATACCAGACCTTTCTGCAGACCCTGCAGGTCAAAGGTCACGGCTCCTCGCCCATACACGGAGCTGGGAGCCTGCGGGTATGGTTCATTGCCACGGCAATGACTTTCTTTGGGTGAGCGGGTGGACGCTGCAGGAGCCCAACACCTACACAGCAGCAGGCTGCTGGTTCTGATCCAACCGGGTCGGAACCGTCTGGGATCAGATGATTGTGATGAAGATGAAAACATTGAAACTAAACTTTTCTTAACTTTCAGGAAAATGAAACGTTTCTCTCTTCCGCTCAGAATAAGTTCAGGATAAGCTGTGAAGAAGTCGCCGGCGTCCTCAGGCCTGCAGGTTTCAGCTGTTTCTCTTCTGCCACACCTGGACTGAATCATTTGAATCTGCTGTCCTGGAATAGGCAGAGCAGGTCTGAGGCCTGCAATGGATTTGATTTACCTCAGGCCTGATGAAACATCGTTAGCTTAAAGTGTAGCTAACCTTTGTGGCCCAGCGAGGTCAGTTTCTCAAAGAGGGTGGAGCCATGACACGCTGAGGGGCGTGGCCAAGTGTGGGGCGAGGTGAGGGTGTGGTGAGAGCTAGGACTTTTTTTTAACAGAAAAAGTGACTGACCTGTAAAATAATTCATCAGATAATATTTCATCATCTTTAATTCTCGAGTGAGATTCCAGTTCACACTCCAACCAGCCAGTGGCGGTAGTGCACCAATTTCGTTGTTCGCCAACCTCCGAAAAGGATCACAGAAGAAGACGAAGAACTCTTCTAGATCTTTTTTGTGTATTTTTGATTGTAACCGTTGTAGAGCTGAAGGCCGGTTTTCGATGGTAGGAAGGAGGCAGAGAGGACAGAAAAAGGAACTGAGCTGAGCTGAACTGAGCTGGGTCCGCTCGCCGCTTTTCTTCAAACCAAGCTAACGGCTACAGCTAGCCCGGAGCTAGCTGTAGCCGGCTAGGCTAACCGCTAGCCTAGCGGCTGGCCCAGTGGCTGGAGTAAGGTTCATCTGTTACTCAAACAGTTAATAATTAGGCTGCCACAGGAGAAAAAAAAGAGTTTAATTTTGCAGTTATATTTTCACCATGTTGTTCATTTATCTATAAATGTCACAGTTTCAAATGAAGTATTTAGTTAGCAAGCCAAATAAGCTAAATACTTGAGTTTACTTTGGTGACTAAATATTAAGAATTTCGGTGGTAAACTAAACTTTTAGTTGAGTATTTAAATGTTTTATAATGAATGAATAACATGATTCAGATGTGACAAAAAAAATGAACCTCCATTGTTTCTGTTAGGACCAGATTATTTCTGTTCATTTTCCACTGAGTAACTTTATAAACGCCACTCAATATTATCATCATGTTTGTGTTATTGAAGGTTAAACATTCTTCAGTTATTAAAAACCTGCCTATTTGTGTAAACCAGTCCTGATCAGAACCTTCCGGTTCCGGAGGGGATTCAGCATCTGGAACGTCGCTGAGGAAGAGGATGCTGAAGATCAGCGGAGTTTCTGCTCAGAGCTGAACAAAGAGAGGAGGCAACACGACTCACAGGATGCGCGCGCATTCCCGGGGCGCGCTCACAGGATGCGCGCGCATTCACGGGGCTCGCTCACAGGATGCGCGCGCATTCACGGGGTACGCTCACAGGATGCGCACGCTGTAGTCAATGCAGGAGCAGTGAGGAGGAGGAGGAGGAGGAAGGCTGAATGCGCCTCCTGACTGCGCGCCGTCCTCGACACATAAAGACAGGAGAAGATCCAGAGACTGAGAGGTAAACACTCCCTCTTCCTCCTCCTCATCCTCCTCATCCTCCTCATCTGCTGCATCCTCATCCCCCCAGTGAAGGAATGGCCCAGCGTCACAAAGGATCCGGAGTGGAGCGGAGACCTTGACAGAAAGAGGCTGCAGACTCCAGAGGAAGAGGAGAGGAGGAAGAGCTTGTAGGTTTCCATAGCGCCGCTCCGTGCTCCTGCAGCAGTCTGTGTCCAGGTGTCTCTTCTTTGTTCCATTCTGCTGGGATTATTTCCTGGTAATCTCAGGAATATTCCGGGTTTGTCCTGAGCTGATGCCAGCAGTTTTCCAGGCGGTTTTCTTTGGGAATGTCGAGCAGCTCCGACCGTTTTCCAGGAGATCCTGGAGTTTTCCAGGAGATCCTGGAGTTTTCCAGGAGATCCTGGTTTTCTGGAATGATTCGTTCATGTCGCTCTGCTGGTCCGGTCATTCACACTTGGAATCCCATCTGCAGGTCAGCAGAGTCTGCTT